TCTATGATCTAGAGAAAGCAGCACCTTTCCTTGCTGCTAACAGTGCTAACAACCAGCCCTTCCCTAAATTGCTAAGAGCAGCAAAATCCATGGGAGGAATGAGCCCTGCTATAAGACACAACAGCTCCAGTATGCTGCTGCCTTCTTGTGGCTCTCTGCTCCTGCCCTGACGGATGTGAGGGGTCATGGCAGGAGGCTGGGGTTTAAAATGAACAGAAGAAAGTGAACTGGCCCTGCAGAGTGGCTCACAGCCTGGCAGGGGTGGCTGGCTGCTGTGGTGTCCTGCAGGCAGAGAGGTCAGGAGGCTGAAAACACCTCCCTGATCAGAGAAAACCTCCTGCCTCCTTCCTGTACAGAGGAAAAGGCATTCCTGGAAATGGCCATCGGGGAGGCTGTATCTGAGCTCTGGCAGCCTTGTTCTGTGTGAGATTTAAAACCTATCTAAAATGGCTGGCAGTCAGTCTGTGCTGTTTCAGGTCAGGGCTGTTTCCCCCCCATCTGTTGATGTCTCAGTTCTTTAGTTATAAATTATTGAAAGCAGAAATGCCAAAGCACGTAAGAAAGAAGCTGGTTGTGCGGTTACAGGAGGCTTTGCTAATTTGTCAGGGGGAAAAGCTCTTGCTGGGATATAAGCTCCTTTCTTGTTCTTTGTGCAAGATGGGTTTTAACAGCTCCCGAGCAGCAACCCCACCTCTCTCCTGCTGGCAACGCACAGGGTTGGCTTTAAAGCTGCTCTGGCCGTGGTTTGTGGGAGGGTGGTGGTGCCTGTGTGGCCGCGACTGGTTTGAGGAAGGGGGAGATCCCTTTCCCCTGCCTGCATGGCCACCGTGGCGGCTTTGTGCCCAAACAAAGACCCGGGATTTCCAAAGTGCTGCAGCATGGAGGAGATGCAACACATTGCCCAGGGGCTGTGCCTCGGCTGCGGGGGGTGATCAGGTTTTTGGGTGCAGCTCATGCTGGCGAGGGGCTGTGCACAGGGAGGATGGGCATCAGGTTCTTTTGCACTCGCTGCCTGCCAGGGACAAAAGCTACAGCAGACTGCAGCATCCGTAAAGGAGAAGCGTGTGGAGAACAGGCAGGGAAAGAGGGGGAAGGTGTGCACAGCCGGAGAGTAAACACGCAGTAAAACACTTGTCTGACTATTTGCATAAAGGCAGAAAGGATTTCCTGCACTCATTTTGAAACTGCATGGGTGGTTTTTTCCTTGCTGGCTGTGCAGGGAAAATGAGCCTTTTCTCAGCTCGGGCTGGGCTGTGTGATGCAGGCTCTGCAGGGTGGGTTTCAAGGACGCTCCTGGCTTTGTGGCATTCCCCAAACCTGGCCCTGCCAGGGGCTGCACCACCAAATCAGAACAGCTCTGGGAGCTGCCTGGGGCTTCATCAGTGGCTTCTTCCTCCCTCCCCTGGGGGACAGGGAGTGGAGGCAGTTTGCCGTCCAGACTTCTCTCAGAGGAGCAACCTGGCCTTAGATCTTGGCCTTTGCCTTTTCAGCATTTGCCAGCTCTTGGCGTTTCTTGAATTCAGAGCCAGTTTTCTGGCTGGAGCGAGGAGGTGCCTCAGGGCTTGCGGCAAAGGGCCACCTCCGGCCGTGACCTGCTGTCGCTGGAAGGCACCAGGCCCTCCTGCCAAGACGGCAGCCGTCTTGCTAAAGAACACAAAGCAAGCGTTTCCTCCGGATTGCTAGGGATTTGCTCTGCAAAATCTCCGGTAAGTCCTGAGAGAAACCCAGGCTTGGGAGGAGGTGGAGGTGAGAGCTGCTGCTGCAGCACAGCTGCTACCTGTGGTGCTCTATAAGAGGTTCCTGCATGCCACAACACCAGGATGGATACACCAGGATCTCTGTAGAAGGGTTTTGGCAAACCTCATATGCAATAAGGATGCTTTTTCCATCCCTTCTTTCCTCTTCCCCTCATTTCCTTCAGTACCTACAGGACCCTACTGCCAGGCCTCCTAGCCCTCCAACCACTTTCCATCCTGGTGGCCAGGTGCCCCCAGACTGCTGCTACTGCTACCCTTCCTGCTGGGGTCACATACGCTGCCTGCACTGACTCTTGGCTTTTTCCCACCAAAGGTATTTTTTTTCCACATGCACTCCAGCCCATCTGCACTGTCCTGCCTGCTTCCCAGGCTTCCTGCACCCCTTGCCTTGCTGTGGCCAAGTGAGCAGGGTCAGCTTCTTGCCCACTTGTGCTGCTTCTTCTGCAACCCGATCTCCCCAGGAAATGCCATGCCCATAAGGTGAGCACAGTGGCCGAGCATCTCTCACAAGTGTGAGAGTATGGTGCCGATGTTAGCCCAAGGGTTTGCTTTCTTAACAATTCTGCTTCAGCAGCGGGTGCGCCCCTGGGCACACACATCGGGCACAGCTGTCTCCACTGCTGCGGGGCCCCATGTCCGTGTGCGTGGCCGTATCTTTGAGGGGCTTTGTGCCCCGTATCCGTGCCCCTGTCCCGGGTGCCCCCCTCACACCCTCACTCGCTGCTCCCCTCACGCGCTCCCCCCCCCTCCCCTCAGCCCCTCTCGCGCCCCCGCCGCGGGGCACGGCGGGAGCGGCCGCCCCCTGGCGGCCCGCGCTTCCCGGCAGGCGCGGCGGGCGGGCGGCCAATGGGCGCGCGGGCTGGGCGGGGCCGAGGTATATAAGGCGCCGCCCCTCACGGCGCGCGCCCCAGTCACACCTGGACGCGCAAAGAGCGGGACCGTCACCGGCAGCACATCGCATCCACCCCACCGCGCCCTCCGCACCGCAGGTACGGGCTGTGCCGCGGGAGGGGCCACGCGCAGCACCGCCGCTGCAAGGAGGGGCTCGCCGGGGCGCCCCGGGGTGGGGGCGGCGGGTGCCCGAGGGGACGTGGCTGCCTGGCGCGGGGAGGTTCCCCTCCGCGGGTGCGGGGATGGGGAGGGCTCCCCCGGCGGGTGCGGGCACTGGGGGGTCGCCCCGCACGGCTGCTCCTGGCCCCGGGAGCGGCGCGGTGCCCGGGGCGGCGGCCGCCCCGCCCTGCGCTATTGTCCGCGGCGGGGGCCGGGGGGGCCGCGCCGCCTTTGTCTGCCCGACCCCTGACTGCGGCGGGGGGTCTCGCAGGCAAAATGTGCGACAAGCCAGACCTCTCGGAGGTGGAGAAATTCGACAAGAAGAAGCTGAAGAAAACCAACACGGAGGAGAAGAACACGCTGCCCTCCAAGGAGAGTGAGTGCGGGGCCGGGGGCTGGCGGGGCAGTGCCCTCGGGGGCCGGTCCCCCCTTTCGAGGGCCAGGGGCGATTGGGGGCATCGGGGTTCTGACTCGGAGGAAGGCTCTGGCAGAGGTGTGTGCAGCCCGGGCAGCGGGCATGGGCACACGGGGAGGGCTGTTGCTCCGAGCTGATGCCTCAGGGCATGGCTTTCCCGAGTACTGATGCAGACAAGTGCCCATCTTTGATCTCATGCTCGTGTGTGTCTCATCACCTTCTAAGTCGAGCATTCGCCTACACCACTTGGGGTCAAATTATAAAACTGGGCGCTATGGCCTGAGTGAATCCTCTGAAACCTTCTCCAGTGGGTGCTTCCACAATAAAAAAAAAAAAGGCAGCAGAGACTAACTGCCCTCCATTCTCTTGCAGCTATTGAGCAGGAGAAGGAATGTGTGAAGTCTTCCTAGAGAGAGATTGCCTGGCAGGAAGAGCGACTACTCCAATTATTTTGCTTTAAAATGAATCATGTGGGTTTTTTTAAATTTACATCACGTACATGTGTAGAAGACAGCTATATCACCTAACACACTGTCCCACCCTGCTGGCAGCCTTGGCAGGGCAGGGACAAAGCGTGGTTCTCTCAGTCCATCAGTAGCCTGACCCGATGCCATCTCTGCTGCTGAGCTGGCTCCTGTGACACCACTAATCCTGCTCTGGTGCAGTGAGGAGATGAGCAAGGGCCATGGAGGCTTCTGGAGATGGACCCCTTCTGCCTGGGAGAGCGGGGACCCTTTCTGGCCTGGCCTCACCTCTGGCCTGGGTCTGTCTTGCATATTCTTCACTGACAGTGTTCTGTAGCCTCACTCACAGTTTTTTGTCTTCCTTGGGGGAAAAAATGAGAAGTTTATTATAAAATAAAAAAACGTAATGACTTACCTATGGCTTGTGGCTTATTCCCTGGCAAAGGGTCTGGCTGTAGCCTGGCTTGCCCTGGAGGGTGGGGAGGTCTCTGCCTGCTGCTGCAGCAGTGCTGGCAGTTTTGTGTTGCTCAGAGGAATGGTGGGTTGGCTCCTTACAGAGTGAATCCAGCTTGGTGTTTGCCTGGGTCTCTGTTCCTGGTGGCCTGGGGGAGCTGGGAGCACTTCTGGTGTGACTGAGGCCACTGTGCTCCACCACCAGAGTGGTTTCTTCTTATGGTAGAGGTTTAACTGGGCCTCACTGCCCATGTGAAGGCTGAGCCTCCTGTTTTGAAAACCTTGGTGTCCCCTGCCTAAAACCATTGTGGAGCTGGGCTGGCTCCTCATCAGCACAGCTGGAGGTGTTGGCAGTGGGGATGCTGGTCTGAGTCTTGCTGCTGTGGTGGCCAGGCCACCTCTGCCCACCCAGAGCTCTCCCTTCACTGCCTGGCACAGCCCTTCTCTTCCCCTTGAGCCAATCTCTGCCCCTGCCCTTGATGGAAGGAGGTTTTTGCAGCCCTGTAAAGATGGGGTTTAATGCAGTAAGTGCCTTGGGTACCTCTGTGTTGATCCCAGCCCTGCCTTACAGGTATGGAGATCCCTGGGTCCTGCAGTCGCCCTGCAGCACAGTGTGGGTGAGCTCTGACAGTGCCTCCAGGTCTATGCTGAGGCTTCCTGGCTACTGCCAGGATTTCCTCACCTCCACCTGGCCTGCAGGGTCACTGAATGCACCAGGGCAGTTATGGAGAAAGTGGAGGCAGACTGGCCTAAACTTGCCAACTAACAGTTTTGACCAGTGTCCTTAGTGAGCCTGGTCAGCTGGGACAAACACGGGGCTGTTGTGCCTGTCTGGACATGGTGCCTATCTGCCTACTGCCTCCACCCACGCTGCCTGCCAAGGACTGCAAATAACCTGCCTGTGTGCTTGCCACTGCCTTCACCCCTTAAAAAGCAGACTCAAAGGAGCTGCAGGTAAGAGGTCGATGTTTTGTGTGCTGTCAGGGCAGTGTGCAGGGTTTTCTGTGGGGTGAGGGCAGTGGGGAGTGATGCTGAGGCCCAGCTGGGGCTGCTGCTACATTGGGCTGAGCACTGGGAAACCCAACATGTGGGTGGCTGTCTCCCTTCCCCTTCAGCACCTTAATGTTGCCAAGACAGAACCCTATCCTGGACATGGGAATCCTTTTCTCAGTGCCACCTGCCAGGACAGGGGTGGCAACAGCTGCTCATCATCCCAGCAGGGGTTGTGTCCTTGTTTGGGGGTGGTGTCTCTCACCAGGCTGGGGCAGGCAGGCAAAGCCAGCCTGAACCCTTTCCCTGTCCCTGAGTGCCTGAGCTGAACCAAGAGATGGATGGAAACACGAAGTGGCATTGCTGATCTCCTCAGTGGCTGCCCACAGCACCCTGGCTGCTCCCGACACCGCCCCAGTGCCCCTCCCTGCTGCATGCTGCAACTGGCCCCTCTGCAGGCATGGAAAAGCACCAGAGTGCTTATCTCTCCCTGAGTCACATGGACTTCTGGAAGGCCACGGCAGGAGTGTCCCATCCCTGGCACCAGTGTGCTCACAAAAGCCTCCCCATCATCCTGTGCTGCACATGCAGGCAGCAGAGACTGCCCAAGGGTGCTGGGCACCCCCTTCCTATGGGATCAACTGGTTTCCCAGCCAGGACAAGGGCTGTGGCTCCCCAGCAGTTGCTCTAAATGGGAGGGTGGCTGGTGCCAGCAGCTGGTGATGCTCCAAGCCTGTGGAAGTGGCCCACAGGACCCCCGTGCATCCCAGGAAGCTGCAGAGTGAGGATTGTTGGTGCACCCAGGTTTGTGTTGCTTTTTCACTATGGCCACCCCAGGGATGCAGCAATACTGATTTAGACATGGGGGCAAGTGCTGGCACAGCCAGGTCTATGCCCTGAGGAAGCCACACCAGGGGCTGGCAGTCCCAGCCTGAAGCAGGGAATCAGTCTGGCAGTTTCCCAGCCCCAGCACACACATCTCGGTGGGTTGTGTGGCCAATGTGGCTGAGTCCACCTAAAATGAGGGCACCCACATCCCTGCCAGAATGGTGCACAGGGAAGCACCAGACACCACCCATTTTCTGTGTCCTCAGGTCTGAGGGTAAAGAGTCAGGCATTTTGAAACCCAGCACCCAAAATGTTGCCAGCAGAGGATGAACCAGCAAGGGGAGAACATTACAGAAAAGCTCTTTATATCAACACTTTCCCTCCCTACCCCAGACCTTCCCTTTCACACGTCAGCCCACAGCTGCCAGTGGTGTGGGTGGCCAGGACAGCTGCCAGACTGTTGTCCCCTAGAAATGTGGTGGCTTCAGCAGCTTGGGCTGCCCCAGCAGCCACCCACGCACAGAGGATGCCATCCTGGGAACTGTACATTCCTGGCAGGGCTCGATGCCCCTTCCCTCACTGGGCAGCAGGTGAGTTTCTTGTGTCAGCCCCCCTTGGCAATGCCAGGAGGATACGATCCATGGGGCCCATCCTGTTGCTCCTGTGGGCGGCTTCCTCCTGCGCTCCATCAGGTGGTGAACTGTGGCCCCACTGCAGAGGAGGGAGGAGAAGGCTGAGTCACTGACAGGAGGAATTTGGGCAAATACCTGGTGATCAGCAGCACGGGGTGAATTCAGATCAGAGGTGAATTCAGATCAGGGCTTGTGGCTGGGATGGGTGTCTGCCCCTGCCACTGCTCCATCCCCTCTGGCTCAGCCAGGAGAGGATTTGGCCCCACATACCCCTGTGTGGAGAATCATAACCCCATCTCTGGTAGGAGGTCCCTGACTCAGCCTGTGCGTGGCCCTGCACTGAGAACCCCGGTGCTCCAGTGCTCCGTGCGTTGCTGCAGCACCCTCCTCACCTCCCACAGCACCACCATGGTTTGCAGCTCAGATCACCCAGGGCAGGGGAGACTTTTGCTGCAGAAAGTGGTGACAGCCAAGGGGTTTCAGTGGCCAGGGCTTGGGGTACTCCTGGATGGCAGGAAATCGCCAATCACAGCCCCACACTGTGGTCAGAGTGCAAGCAAACCCCACCTTGTAAGGTGTGTGTTTGTCACCAGAACAAGCAAGATAAGGTGAAGCCAGGCTGCATGGCCAGATGAGGCAGATCCTGCCCACTCCTCACTCCCTGCATCCCTGGGGAAAACGTGTCACCACTTCTGCATCACTCAGATCAGCCTTTCCCTGCCAGGTCTTTGCTGCTTGTGTGGACACATTGCCAAGCACAGAGCTCAAACCACCCTGCGGTGGCAGAGGTGGAGAGGGGAGGGGAGGAAAGGGGCAACAATCCCGAGCTGCCAGGGAAAACTTCTGCTGGGAGTGACTGGGGAGGATACATGTGTGCATGGGGATAGTTGTATGTTTGGCTGTGAAAGAGGAAAGCAGAAGAGAATGAGCACTAATGGGGAAATGAAAGTGTTGTGTGGGGTACTGACCACGGACTTTCGGCAAAGGAGTTGATGGCAGGCCACGGTGGGGTGTGAGAGCTGTGTGTCATGGGGACACTTGGTGACATGGGGGAGGATGAACAGACAAGCTGTCCCCATCCTGTGGAAGGGAGCAGCACTGTGCTGGAGAGCCCCACAGCCATGGGGAGGTAAAGCCACTGTCCCTGACCAGTGGGTGCAAAGACACCACCACAGCGAGCCAGGCACCTCAGGACACCTGCACTGGGAAGTTGGCCCACGGGCTCTGCGGTGGCCAGCACAGGCAGGCTGCCACACTCAGCACACCCCGACGCCTTCCCCAGCAGCAGAGAAGTTATTGCTGCTCTTTAAATAATGCCCAGGAGGTCAGGTTTACCAGCAGGAGTTTATTCATCCCCTGCCAGCAAGGGCTCAGCCGAGCAATGATGAACCCAGAGCACTCAGAGCTTCCTGCTCAGGATCAGGCTTCTGCCAGCACCCAGGCCTAAACAAAGCTGGGAAGTTATGCACTGAGCCCCCCTGCACCCCCTTCACTCCTGCATTTGCCGGGGTTGTTGCTGGCACGGGGCACAGGTGGGAGCAGCCCTGCTGGATGCCTTCGCTGGGCGGCACATGCGCTGCTGGCGCCGGGGGATGCCGAGCCCTTCGGGGGCTCCTACCCGCTCCTGAGAGCGGCTGGAACTCATTTCTCATTTCTGAGCCCCCCCCAGTTGCATTCTACAGATTCCTGCAGGCCCCAGGGGCCATGCCCAGAGCTGCGGGAGCATGTGCTCCCGCAGGATCACGGCTCCGGTGTCGTGCGGCAGCGCCCGCACTTGCACCCGAGCTGGGGCAGCTGATGGAGCAGAGGAGTGCTTTATTTTAGGAAGCAGCTGGCTCACACAGGAGACATTGTTTATCATCTTTCTTGCCCCTGGTGTTTTATTACAAAGGATTATGGCATGAAAAGCCATTTTGTTTCCCTGTTCCCAGTGCATAGCTCTATCTCCGTGATTTATTCCTCTCCACAGGAAACAGCTGGGATATGGCAGCCTGGGAAGCCGGGGGGAGACAAAGGTGGGGGCTCAAACCCATGGGGTTGACGGCAGTAGGGATGCACCCAGTGCCCAAGCCATGGCACAGCTGGCTGGGGTTTGCCAGGGGGACCTGACACTGCTCATGCTCCTGTGTGACATGAGGAGACCTCAAGGGGTGGAAAAACAAAACCCAAGCCCTTCTGTGGTGGGTGTCACCTCTAAGGCAATGTCACCTCACTCCATCTGGACAAGGCAGAGGTTGGTGTCCTCTCCTCAGGGGACACTGCTGTGCCAAAGCCTGTATGCCCCACAGCCAATGCTGGTGGCACCCTGCAGTGTCAGAGCCCCTAAACCTGCTTGGATGAACCCGTGCAGGAATGTCCGGCTGCCCATAGGGAACTTGGGGGCAGGCTGGGCATGGACAACATGGTGCAGGGTATGGGCTGGGCACAGAGGGTGGGGTGCAGGGTACGAGCTGGGGGCTCAGCTTGGAAATATGGTCCTTTGCTGCTTCACCCAGAATCACCAACAGGCAGGATGGAGGCACCTCCAGAGCAGCAGCAGGAGCAGTTTCCCTCTGTCCCTCTGTCCAGGTACTTTCCTCACCAAGAGGCAGCCAGGGTGCCATATGATACTCTGTCCCCCT